TCTGGTACCTTGTCACATCAGACAGAGAAAAAAAAGTGAACGTTCTTAAAGTTTACAGAGTACCAGTTACGGGGACCTGGGCCTCGGCTTGCTACAGAGAGGATGTGGCAAATGTTTAAGTGTGAAATGCATGAACATCCATCCTTGAGATCCTGCTCCCCCCGCCAATGTTTGCTGGCACAGCAACCACCGCTCGCCACCTAGTGTCTCCTGAACCACGTTCAGTTTCTTTTTCAGCTGGATTCAACTCGACTAGCAGTAAGTACTCAGCAAGTGGCCATGCGAGCAGGTCTGATTTATGGACTCATTGATATTTGTGAGAACAAAGTCATTGGCAGTAAGTCAGCCTTAAAAGTGGGAAGTAGGTATGGCCAAAAAACCCAACTGAAAACATCAAAATTTACTAATATTTACAGTATCAGATATTCAACTAACTGTGTCAGCACAGAGCGAGCGTATTTCTGTTTTTAATTGTTCATGCATAATCATTAGGCTGCTATTCTACACAAGCAATAGTTCAAGGAATCCTAATAAACTCCTTACCCATGAAGTGCTCCTGCCAGAAATGTCTAATCTAATCAAGTCTTCAGATCTTACAGTTTACAAGAAATACAAGGATAGAGGATCAAGCTGAACAACATCACAAGAAATCCAGAATGTGAAACATCCTGGTCTGTTCAAATAGTCCATATTATAGGGGGTGGGGGTGGAAGGACTGTTCTAGAGAGACAAAGAGACATAACAACCAAATGCAACGAGTGAATAGTGATTTTGCATCCTGGCTTAGGAAGAGAACTATAAAAGCTTTTTTATGATGTGTGACAATTAGGGTAATTTAAATAGATGTGGACAAGCAATGAGGCTAGGAATTTAGAGAATTTCCTTAAGTGTGGTTGTGGCACTGGAGCTCTGCAGGGGAATGTCCTTCTCCTTAGGAGACAATGCTGAAGTGTTTAGGAGTTAAGGTCATGATTACTGCAACCTACTTTTAAATGATTCAGGAGGAAAAAATTAGTTTGGAAAAGGAAATATGGCAAAACCATTAACCATTGTTGAATCTGGGTGGCGAGTACAAGGGTGGTCATTGTACTCTGCTTCTCTGGTATGACTGAGAATTTTCATAATAAAAAGCTGGAATAAATGATGGTGACAATGTCATCTGCTTTGGGTGGCAGTCTCTCAAAACCACTGAGACTCCTTGTCTTTCATGAATCACTATCTACCTGTTGTAAGAAAGGAAGGCGTCTGTGTCAGGAACAGTGCCCTGCCCACAGCAGACCCTGAATTATTTATCAATGGATGGATATTGCTTTCTCTCTCTCCCTTTGGTTTCTTTTTCTGAACCTGCCACTCTAGCTAAAACTGTAAGCCTTTATCATCTTTCCAAGTGCTTTGAAACCACAGAGTGAGGTGGTTTTGCAAAGATAACGGCAATCAAAGAGAAGATTGCTCTTGTGGCTGGTGGCGTAGTTAGCAGCCTGCTAAGAGAGTGGGTGCTTATTTGTAGTGTCATGCCACGTTCAAACGTGGTTTGATTATAAAAGGAAATCAATCCTCTTCCAGCCCTCTATGAGCTGCAATCTTGTACATTCGTTGCTTTTTCTTAAGGCATAAATATTCACAGTGGTCCATCAGCTACTCTGAGTTACATTTGAAATGTTGTATTCTGTAAAATTCATCCCTTCATCTATCTATCCAATCATCCATCCATCCATCCACTCACTAATTTACTCAAGGGCTAGGAGTGATGCGGAAGAGGACAGGGAAGAAAATTTGATGCGCCAAAAACTTGAAGCACATTTATGACGTTATAAGCAAGAATTGTAATGACCAGTGAGGATGTGGAAAGGACAAAAGCCACATCATCCTCTACAGAAGTGTTTCTCAAACTCCAATCATTGTCAAAAATGCATGATTTCTACCATGTTTGAGGATCATTAACTATAGAATCATTACTTAATATATTCCCTTAAATCCATTCACTTGAAAAAACAACTTAAATGCCTCCTGTGATCTCATCCTAAACATTACTATCCATAAAATCTTGGTTTTGATATGTTGTTATATTTTTTCTGATGTATTAAAATAAATGCACAGCTATACAATCATCTCATGTTTCTTGAACAACGTGTGTAATCAGTGATACACGTACCACACTATACAGGGATTTACCTTTCAGAAAAGGATTTAGGGACAAATGGATTGATCTAAAAACATTGGCTCCTATGTGTGCACATGTATGAAATACATACATATTTCAATTAACCATCATTTTGCCCCTTCCTCCTTGTAAGGCCTTCCTTTAGTAGTAAACCAGTGATCTCAACTGCTTTGTATAATTAATTTACTGGAGAGCAAAAGAAGAATGGATTCAGTGAATATTTTGCTGATTAGAATATGAGCAGGAGTCCTGAGTACTCATAGAGATCACATGTCTATTAAGTCCTGATGCAAGAAAAATTCATCTTTTGACACAAATATCAGATATGCTCCAAAAATTTAGAATAATGAATATAATATCCAGTGACTGGAAATGTTTTACAGGTAAGGTTTAGGGTCAGCTGGGTTTCTTTCTCAGTACTTTATATTTCAGTCTTAAAGAAATGGTACCTGGAGGCCGCCTCCTCACTTCCCTTGGAATAAATCATCTGCATTTTCATAATGAGCTACTTTCTTTGTGTAGAGCTGGGGGCGTGCAGGTTGGTAGGTGTTTTAAATATACTTTAGTTGCTTCTGTCCTTCATCTGTCAAGTATTTATTGCATACCTACTGCAGCCAGGCATTGGACTGGATGCTGGGGAGACCAGGAACAGCAAAACAGACATGGTTCCTGCCTCACGGAGCTTCCAGTATGGTGTGGGAGATAGACGCTAATAAGTCATCTCCCAAGTAAACAGAAAATTGCCCTGAGGAAGTGGTGTTTGAGCTGAGATCTGTGTGGGGTGAGAGAATGTTCCAGGCAAAGACAACATCTAGTGCAAAGGCCCCCTTCTGTGGTGGGGCAGGATGGGAGAGCATCATGCCTCCAAGGAATTAAAAGAATGTGAGTGGCTGGACCCCAGGGGCAAGTGGGGATGCACAAGCATTGGCCCTGCCAGGCTGGGCCCACAGCCACGGTAAAGAGTGTGGTCTTTGCCCTAATAGCGACGGGGAACCACTGAAGGGCTGGACTCCTCGACAACAATCGAGGCTCTGTCAGCAGTGAGGAAGGGGGAAGTGAGTGTCAGGTGTGCAAGCAACAGTACTTACAGAAACGCCCCGAACACTACCTATCCAAAACAGAACTACTTCCCCATCTCCCACCCTCCTGTAAACAGTATGGTTTACTGCTTCTTATCTCTGTGAATGGCCTCACCATTCATCCAGTAGCTCAAGCCAAAAATCTAGGGCTCATCCATGATACCCCCTACCGCCATGTCTAATCCAGGCCAAGTCCTGTCCATTCCACCTCTTAAATATCTCTGGAACTCATTCACTTCTCTATCTCCACCATCAAATTCATGCAGTTGTCTCTTGGTGAACTATTGCAATGCTTTCCCAAATGCCTTCCTACTCTCCTGCCTCTACAATCTGTTCTCCAAAGTTGCCTTTTCAAAACACAAATCTGATCATCTTTCTCCTCTGCATAAAGTCCAGGGATCAAGGCAAATCTTGAGTAGCCCGACCCAATCATGGCAGACTCATTTCACTTGCCCTTGATCAGTTTAGTTGTGGGCAGAGACCCATTGACTCATTTCTGGTCACTGAAACGTGGGTACTGCTTCTGAGGAGCTTCTGGGCAGGGTATTCTTGCTCTTCGAAAGAGGCCATTGGATGGAAAGGATCCTTTTTATGTTCCTAGACATTGTCACATCTGGGTGTGTCTGGAGTGGCAGCAGTTATCTTGCCACTAGCATCAAAGGGTAATTCCAGGGACAGTAGGGAAAGCAGAGCCTGAAGCCCGGAGTGCCACCCTTGGAGTCTGGCCCACCAGGTGAGAGAAACCCCCTTGCTATACAAGCCACCTTGAATTGGGTTTTCTGGCATGTACAGCTGTAAGGATTCTAACTGATGTGTGTCTGAGGCATCCAGTGCCCAGGGGGCAGTTGGACACATGCATCTGAAGTTCAGCGGACAGGTCTGAGCCGGAGAACATATGCGAGTCCTTGGTGAAGCGTGGGGAAGGGATGAGATTGCCAAGGAGAGTAGAGGGTGAGATCGGAAACAAGGCTGGGAGAGGATGAGGAGCCTGCAAATAAGTTTGGGAGGGACTGAGCCAGAGAGGTGCCAGGGGAGACCACCTGTGGCCAGAAGAAAGGATTTCCTGCTTGCCTGCCTTTTTATATTGAGACCAACATTAAGAGCATTACCACATTCCTAAGTGTATTCAAACTGGACAAAAGGAAGTGGCTCAGGAGTGTTTTCAGCTGGAGAGGAAGTTGGATTTCAGAACCAACCCTTGGGATTAACATTAGGAGAGTCTGGCTGCCTGCCACTCAACAAGAAGGTCATTTTACCAGAATTTCAAAGGCAACCAAAAACTGGACAGACAATCCGGTCAGAGAATCTCTCTCCTCTTCTGAGTGTAAGATACTGAGTTGGGTGGAGATTGGAAGGGCACCCCAAGAGAAGGGACCGCTGTAAGAAAACGCTCGGTGGTCTGCAAGCCAAGGGCAGGCGTCACAGCAACAGGCCGGAGACAGACGTGGGAAATGAGATGGGAATATGGGAACGAGGCCAACAAAGGGCGCGCCTTGTAAGTCAGGATTTGATTCCATCTGAAACGGCTCCCGCTGAAGGCTTTTGAGCAGTCAAGACAGGCGGTAAAGGGGCTCCACATCATAGTGAGGGTGTGTGTAAAGATAAACACATCAGAGGACCAGGAGCTACGTTGCCAGGGGCGAGGTCCTCAAACCGCAGTGAGCACCAGAACCACCAGAGGAGCCGGTGACAATGTGAGTTCCCGGTACTCACCGCCCCCCGGATTCGGATGCTATAGGTTGGGTCCCATAGGTGCATTTTTAGAAGCTGCTCTGGCAGCGCTCCCGCCCAGGGATGACTTGGGCGTTTGGCTGGGCCTCTGTATCCACGAGCTCCTCCGCTCTGACAGAGAAGACGGGCGTCTCCCGACGGGACACAGAGCCTCCTTCCACGTTCTCCCGACCCGACAGCTCCCCCGCCTCGCCCGCTCCCGGCCGGGGACCCGGCGGCCCGACGTGGCGGCCTCGGGCTCGCGGCACCGCCAGGGCCTGCGGACCGTCCGCGGCCGGCCCCGCCCCCAAGCCCCCTCTCTCGGGGTCTCCGGCCCCGCCCTGGCCCAGCGCGGAAAACCCGAAGTCACAGTCTTGCTGAATGGCTGCGGCGGCCACGCACAAGCCAGTGGGCGGGTCTCCCTGGTGACTGGCGGACGTCGTGACCAATTATGTCCCGGCGCTTGTTTGTTTCCTCCCCCTCCCTCCCCCCGGGCGCATACTTCCATGACTGACACTTGGCTGCGGCGCTGTTACGTAAGGGGAGGGTCGAGTGCTGCCCCACCCGAGGGAGCAGGTTTGATTGGCGGGACAGAGTGCCGGCGTCCCAGCGCCCCCGGAAGAACGTCCTTGACGGACAGGTGTGGGAGCCACTTGGCGCCGGGAGGCTGGGCGGAAGCGTCCGGGCCCAGGGGCGTGGGGCGGGGGGCGGGGGGCGGCGCCCGGCGCTGAGAGCAGGGCGGGGCGGGGAGCGGGCAGGGGCTGGGCTGGCGCTGCGGCCGGAGATGCTGTGGGGCCGCGACGGCGCTCAGCAGTCGGGAGCGCTGCGCTGAAAGCACTGGGTTGCGGTGCGCTGTCAGGCCGCTGGTAGGTACCGAGATCCGTGGAGTCCTGAAAGCTGGGTCGCGGGCGTCCTCGGGCCCGTCGTTTGTCCGCCCTACCCGGCGCTCGGGACTCCGGAGCGACGGCGGCCGCGCTGGGACACGGGGGCGGGGCTGGGCACCTGTCCGCGGTTGCAGGCACCTGCTGCGCCGGCCGCCGCGGACCCGGGCCCGCCGCTGGGGGCTGTCTGGGAGCTGGGCCGGCCGGCCTGAGGGAGGGAGGCGGGCCCGCCCGGCTCGCCCTGCTGGGGCCCGCCCTCGCCGGCCCCGGCCCCGCGCCCTGGTTGAGGGGGGTCCCCGAGCCCCGGAGGCCCTCAGCCCCCCACCCGAGGGGCTCGCGGGCCCGGGGCCGGCCTCGAGCTAGCTGCGAGGCCCGGACATGGCCCCTGGTTTGCATCACCTCGAGACAGGTTTGTCCAGATTCGCGGCGTGCGCGGAGATGGTTTTCCGCCCCCGGCGAGGCTGCTCGTCCCGGCTGTCCGCAGCGAGCCAGGGCCCGGGCAAAGCTGTTTTCGTGTGTGGGCCCTGCTCCGTCGCCTCTTAACGTGGAATTTAAGGCTGGTCGGGGTGATGTATTAAGTTAGTGCCTATTTAGGGACCGTGGCACAGAGGAGGAAAGCAGCGCCCGGCTCTGTTTTCGCTGCTGTCATGGACGGATCATTCGTACGGGTCCACGATACTGACTTCTCGGCTGCATGATATAAAGGAAGGCAATCCCGTTTTGTTTGTATGGCTGAACCCGAAGAAATTTTAAAATTGTTTCCTAATAACTAGGACTTGTCCTATGTCTTCCTTCCATTTATGTCGGTCCTGTTGGAAAATGCTATTCTGTGCTTGGGTACACTAGACATCTAATAAATGGTGGAGTTATCCCTGGTGGAATACTTACACAGCAGTAGACCATACCTCCTGCTTAAAGAGAGGAGGAACGGGGGGGCAAGTTTTATTTGATTTTTAAAGGCAAAGTCATGGAATCATTATGTGTTAGACTTGGAAGGGACCTTACAGGTGACTGATCCACCCCAGTAGATTTAGGTGAGCACTGTGTCCCAAGGGGGAGGGGTCCCCTGTTAAATCAGGTCTGTCCTAGGTGATGGTGGGATGCTGCACAGTACTCTGGATCTGAAAACCAGTGCTTTCCTTTGGGCCAAACAGGAACATGCATGCCCCCACCCATTTTTGATGTCCCAACTATTTTCATCTGTATCATAGTCACCTTTAAAAGCAGATTGGCAGAGAGCTCTCAGCAATAAGTTGCTATTTACTGGATGTAAGTCAACAGGTGAGTGGAAGAACCAGGATCCTCATTCCTTTGATTTAATTACTGGGTGGCATTACATCTTGGAAAGCAAAACAGCAGTAATTGGCACTAGCTGGGTATGGGACACCTGGTACCGACCTATGGATGTCCTAGGCTCATCAGAAAACAAATTTTTGCTGATTAGGGACATTTGGTACATGATTTTCTAATGATTTGCTTCTTTTGAATTTGAGTCAAGTGTGGCTAAGTTTTGACCCTTTTCACCTCCAGCCTTTTGGTCGGTGCAAGTAGGAATGCAGAGAAGGAGCTCCACTTGCAACATAACGGAGCCGGGGCGGGGAATCAGCAGAGAAGTCGCTGTTCTTACAGCTCGGTCCCTTCTTTTCCTTTGCCTCTTCCTTTGCATTTTTAGTAAACGACCCACTGACTTTGTGACCTTTGAGACAGGCTGTCTCATCCACTACTTGAAGCTGTGGTGGAAGGTCTGTGTTTGTGAAACGTCTCTTGTGCACTCCTCGGTTGTGTCTTCTGTATGAATTGCTTGGCAATTCCTTGAATGCCTAATCCCGCAGCTTCCACATTTTAAGCAGCTGAAAAAGGTGGTTTCTTGGGGATGGTCCCGACAGGACCCGGTTTTCCCTCTGTCTTCTTATATGCTCCACCTTGCCTCTGTTTTTTTCTTATTTCTTTGGCTACTAGTTTCACTGGAGAGAATAATTTTTTGTGTGTGAGGAAGATCAGCCCTGAGCTAACATCTGATGCCAATCCTCCTCTTTTTGCTGAGGAAGATTGGCCCTGGGCTAACATCCGTGCCCATCCTCCTCTGCTTTATATGGGATGCCGCCACAGCATGGCTTGACAAGTGGTGCGTCGGTGCACGCCTGGGATCCGAACCTGCGAACCCCGGGCCGCCAAAGTGGAGCACATGCACTTAACCGCTATGCCACCAGGCTGGCCCCTGGAGAGAATAATTTTTTACTTAAGAAAACTCATTTTAAGACTCTCTTAAATCAGTCCCCTTGGCTCTCTAATGTGCATAACCCATAACCTTTTGTCTATGTGGGTACAGTGCATTCTGAACCTGGCTTTCCCACTAGTCCAATGCCTACATATTACGCTAGTAGCAACTGTTGTAGTCTGTATCTTCTGCATTGCTGGCACCAAAGCTGAACTGTGTCACTGAATATTCTGAATCTTGGCCAAGGACTCAGTACACAGATTCCTGTAGGCATTTAAAGGTGGGAAAGAAATTGGAGTCAGAAGACGGGGTGGGTATTGAAGGAACCTATTTCTGAAGACTTTTTCCTCTAGGTTTTTATAACTATATATAATAGAACATTATATTGTATTTCTACTTAGAGCATCAGATTTAGTTTTGACTATTTCAGAAGTCTTAACTGTTGGTGTTGGTGTATTTCTGTGTTTTCCCATCTCATTTTAAGGTAAAGTGAATTCTGCAGACAGAAGAGTTTGATGACACAGACCACTGAATTTCTTGTTTGGAGTACGCGTTATGAACCCTTTCTGGAGCATGTCTACAAGCTCTGTACGCAAAGTAGGTATATAGTTGATATAAATTTAGCGAGGAAACCCATTTGCGTCACAATAAAAGCCAATAATTCGTACCGAGGTTGCCTATAATCTTAACAAAATTACCTGGCTTTTCTAGTTCAGGTTTTACTTTTGAGAAATAATTTTGTAGATTAAGGTCAGTTTTTAAGACTGTTCACCTCTCAAATAGAAATCATTCTGGTATTCAGAATTCTCAGATTATTTTGACTTAGGTTATATTTACACATGATGAAATTTTTGACACGTGATTGTGGTATTTTTTCTACCAAACTGCAAGATGCCATGGTTAGAGAAGCCTTGGGAAAGGCCGGTCCAATGTGCTTAAGTCAGACTTGAGGCGACTGGTTTAATTTTTCTAAATGTCTGTTTTTTTTTTTGGTTAGGGAGATCAGCCCTGAGCTAACATCTGCCGCCAATCCTCCTGTTTTTGCTGAGGAATATTGGCCCTGAGCTAACATCTGTGCCTATCTTCCTCCATTTTATATGTGGGACACCTGCCACAGCATGGCCCGATAAGTGGTGCATAGGTCCGCACCTGGGATCAAAACCTGCAAAACCTGGGCCGCCGAAGCTGAGCGCGTGAATTTAACCACTGCACCACGGGGCTGGCCCCCTAAATGGCTGGCCCTCTAAATGTCTATTTTTTAACTGCAAAAAGAATACATTTCAGGAAAGCTTAAAATACACAGACAGACAAAAAGAAAATGAATATAACTCCTAATTCCACCTCAAAGAGAACACCACTATGACCCATCTTTTTTTCTATGCACATGATATACATTTTTAATACAGCTAATTAAACAGCCTTTGGCTGTACTTGAGCCAAGGAAGCACCTATGAGATGGTAGTTTAGTCTCTGATTCATTTAGAACTTTGTCTTTGACTAAGGGTGACAGTTTATGCTGGTGATGGTCCAAATATGGAAACATATCCATTAGGGACAAAATCAAAATTGGACCCACGCGAGTGAGAGAATAGCTTGATTCCAAGTGCTAACATCAGGCAGTGACTCCTTTCAGTCATCTGTGCTACTTATTTTGAGCTCTTAGCACCTGACCTTCTGCAGCATTTAAGTGCCAGGGATTTTTCTAGTCTTGGACAGTTTAATTGCTTTAGTAACACCTTGCCCTCTTTTTGGGGCCACCAGGAAAAACCATTTTTTCCTCTGTTTCACTTCAATCCTGTAAATATTGTCTTTATAGGATGCAGCTAAAGAGCAAGTTTTCTAATGTTTCAGTCTTGCTTCAGTTTGTTCTGCTCTTTATAATGGCCTGCCTGCTCAAAGGACTTGCAAGTTATCTTAATCACGGTGCTAGAATGTCCTTGTAAAAGAGTAATTTCAGCCTTTAGGTCAAAGACTAAGAGTCCATCACCTGTACTCTTGCGATTTAAGAATCATCCTAACATGTTCTCACTGCTTCATCTTGAATAGCGATCTGATGGTGAAGAGAAGACATTAACAGGGGACGTGAAAACCAGTCCTCCACGCTCTGCTCCAAAGAAACAGCTGCCTTCTATTCCCAAAAACGCTTTGCCCATCACCAAGCCAACATCTCCTGCCCCAGCAGCACAGTCAACAAATGGCACACATGCTTCTTACGGACCCTTCTACCTGGAGTACTCTCTTCTTGCAGAATTGTAAGTTCTTAACAAACTATTTGGTTAAATTTTGAATGACCCTTGAAGGTGAAGAATCAAATTTATTTTGATGGACTCAGTAAATGGCAGCCATTTAATCTTAAAGCTCAAACCCATCCTCCTCCAATATCAGCCTTAATGTATTTAGAATGACGGAGGCTATTGCTGGCAATATCATCTTTCTTAACCAAGGCCTAAGTAGTGTTATACAAATATCCTCTCCTAATTGTAGTGATTCTCATTCAGAGCTTGGGTAAATAAGATTTAAAGGCAAATATGTGCTTTAATTTCCATGTCTGTTTTGGAGAGTAAGAGGAGGAAGAAACTAAGATTTATTAAGCACCTATAGTAGGTCAGGAACTTAGTAACTTAATTTTGGTCTTCCTTCACATGAGGTGAGGAATTCTCCTGAAGAGGTTGTTGTAGAGGGCGGGACAGTGGGAAGGTGGCAATCTGTTCTCTCTTGGGTCAGGCCCAGCTGGAGGCTTGTGCTCCATTCTGGTGCTCTCCTTGTAAAAGGCATTCTGACAGATCGAAAAGATGGTCCTGGTAGATGGAGTCAGGAAGCCAGACCTTAGGAGTCAACAATCGAAGGAACTGGAACCACTGACTGGGATAAAACTGAGGAAGTACTTATTAAAGCTATCTTCGTATATTTGAAGGTCTGTCATTAGAAAGGGGATTTGACTTATTCTGTATGACCCCCAATGGCAGAACTAGGCAGTTATAAAGATTTGGGCTCCATGTAAGAAAGAACTTGACTCGTCACAGAAGTCTAAGATTGGACTGAAGTTGCACGCATCTGCAGAGTGTGAGGAGATGAGCACTTCTGCAGAGTGCTAATATTGATGACACAGCACCTGGCCCAAGATGGGCTCAGATAGTGAATGAATGCAGATGGCATTTGATTGGATAATTTGTTACAAGGGAAGAAAGTTTGGAGAATTCTTAATTTCAATCATTTTAAAATTCTTTTGTACATGAAGTTGTTTTAAAAGCATCCTTGAGGGGCCGGCCCAGTGGCGCAAGAGGTTGGGTGCGCGCGCTCCGCTGCGGCAGCCCGGGGTTCGCTGGTTCGGACCCCAGGCGCGCACCGACGCACTGCTTTGGCAAGCCATGCTGTGGCGGCGTCCCATATAAAGTGGAGGAGGATGGGCACGGATGTTAGCCCAGGGCCGTCTTCCTCGGCAAAAAAAGAGGAGGATTGGCGGATGTTAGCACAGGGCCGATCTCCTCACAAAAAAAAAAAAAGCATCCTTGAGCCCTCCCACAGTGTACTAATGTATGATCAGAGGTCTGAGGCCCCAGTGTAATTGGCTGAGTGTGATCTGGGAGCAGTGGTCCCTTTAGCTTTGTAATGGAGGCCTTGTGTTCGAGGCTGGACAGGCTTCTATTGTGGTATTAAATCTGCTGTCTGTATTAGAACACAAAGTTGCCTTTCTGGCAAACCTCACTGTAGTAGATACATCTGCCAACTGTGCTGCTGTTGACATGCTGAATTTTAGTGACTTAAAAATGGAATAACTATTTTAAGATGATTAAAAATAAGTGTGATGGCAAATAGGTAATAAAAACAATCAACCAAGGTCCAACAAGCTACTTCTCAATAAAATTCTGGATTGGTAGGTTGTGTTTTAAGGCCCTGGGTCAACATTGTTCCTTTCAAGGTCTGGTCACGTCCTTACTTATTTAGGCTCATAGCTCAGTTGCAAGAACAGAGCAGAACGGCTGTCGGAGGGTGAGGAGGTCCCAGAAGAGCCAGTGCAGACTTGGTCAGTGGACTTGTCTTGTTTCAGCACCCACCGTTCCCCACACCAAGTCCCACAGAGTTCACGCATCTGAGTCGTGGGGTCAGTTTAGGAGCAGAGTAGTGTGGGCACCTCATGCTGATGCCTGGCTTCACCAAGAACACTGCAAATCTAAACGTGGCCTTCTCGCTGTTCAAACTGAAAAGGACACCTACGTGAGGGCAATCCCATGGAATTTTAATTTATTCTTAATTACCTAAAATTGTGTTTAAAAACAGCTTTTGAATGTGTGTGGGTGAGATCTATCGTCCATAGTCACAAAAGCAATAATTTTACAAATACTCTCATTTACCTAAAACTTAATATCCAGAACTTATATCAGGTTGCATTGTTCAGAATTACCTACAAATTGGTTTCCAAGATGATGTGTTGGGGAAGCTGATTTCTGGGAGGAAAACTTGATTCTTTGTGTATCCCTGTTTGGCTTTAATTTCTGAATGTGGGGCCCTTTTTTGGCTCATGTGTTTCTCTGTGAGCTTGTGTTATGAAGCTAGTAAACGGGCAACAGTCAGGGCCAGGCGAGATTGTGATGACTCTGCTTGCATAGTTAGGGCATCAGCTAACTTGAGGGACTATTCCTGCTCTCACAAAATGAATGTCGATCTCTGTGTGTCATTTACATCCATACAGTTTCATTATTCTGCTGCTTCTGTTTTAGTACCTTGGTTGTGAAGCAGAAGTTACCAGGTGTCTACGTGCAGCCATCTTACCGCTCTGCATTAAGTAAGAAGGATTCACTCCTAATTTATAGCATATTTGGCTCCTCTGACACAAACTTAAGCCATAATTGTTCTTATTTTTTCCTACAGTGTGGTTTGGAGTAATATTCATACGGCATGGACTTTATCAAGACGGTGTATTTAAGTTTACAGTTTACATCCCTGATAACTACCCAGACGGTGACTGTCCAGTAAGTAGGAGAGAGTCTGCTGCTTTTTTTGGTCGGTGAGGAGGGCTTAAAGGACTTGCAAGATTTCTTGGTTCTTTTTCTGACCTAGTACTTTTATGATTTCAGTTTCCCCAAATGTTTGTCTACTCAGTAGTCTTTCAAGGGGACTTTTGTGCCTTGTGCATCTTTTGTCATGCCAGCCTCTGCCTGCAGCTTTGTTTCTCTGCTCAGGGTGTGCAGGTGAGGCTGGACGCTGTACTACAGCACTTACTATGTCAACGGCGATCGCTGTGCTGTAGTAAAATGTGGCTTTTTCTTCCTTCATTGCAAAATGTAGTTTTATAGGCAAATGGTGAAAATAGTTACGTATCCCCCTTGGGGCAGCTCTTTGACTTAAAACAACATGACTGCCTTGTCTGGAAGCTCCTTTTACAGCCATCTGTATGGTCTAACAAGCTCCACTGTGTCCATTAAAGGTCATGTCTCTCTTTAAATCTAGCGCTTGGTGTTTGATATTCCCGTCTTTCACCCGCTAGTTGATCCCACCTCAGGTGAACTGGATGTGAAGAGAGCATTTGCAAAGTGGAGGTTAGTAAATAAGTGTTTCTTCTGGTGACGTAAGTCGGCAAGAGGAATCCTCAGTAATCATGTTGTTTCCCTTTAGGCGGAACCATAACCATATTTGGCAAGTATTAATGTATGCAAGGAGAGTGTTCTACAAGATTGATACAGCAAGCCCCCTAAACCCAGAGGCTGCAGTACTGTATGTTACTTTGCTTTGTTATTTAAGATAAATTCGAAAATGCAGAAGTTGATTTTGTGGGTAACTTTTTGATTTAAACTTTTAACACAGGTATGAAAAAGATATTCAGCTTTTTAAAAGTAAAGTGATTGACAGTGTTAAGGTGTGCACTGCACGTTTGTTTGACCAACCTAAAATAGAAGACCCCTATGCAATTAGGTAAGTGCTACAGTACCTAGAGAATTCAACTGCACTTTGCAGTACTGTGCTTCTATTTTCCAGGTGGTCTTAGAAGGGGAATTTAGAAGTGTATAATCTGTTAGTCTACAACTTTTATTACATGCCGTCAACTCGATTTCTGATACCTTTGGGGCTCTTCCCTTAAACAAAAAGTTTCCCATTGACTGGCACATTGTGCCAGTTTCCTTAGGATCCTTGTAATGTGCTCATTCAAATGTCAGGACTTTTCAGTTGGCGGTTTTAGCTGGAGCTCCTCTTAAACTGCCTTACCCCCATCGACATCCGGATTTGGTGAAAGGAAGGAAACTGAATAGTGTGCGAGTGAATAGTGTGAATAGTGGTTCCTTTAGCGCTATGATGTTTGATCTTGGGGAAGAGTGTGTGGAGGAGTATTGAAAACTGAAGAATTGGTGATTTAGCTTTGGCAGCACTGGTATGGCTGGGGAGGTAACATACTGTCGTGTTTAAGAGCGCTGCAGATAGACTGGTTGGCTGTTGCACTTACTGGCTTTGGTGACCCAGAGCTATTACTTGATTTTACTGTGCCTCACTTTATCTTTAAATAATAGTACTTCAGGGGTCATTGTGAGGCTTCAGTCAGCTAACCCATGTGAAGTGCTCTATAAGGGATAGTAGTTATGTGAAAAAACCATTTAGATAATGTCTAAAACTTACATGTTGACAACTGATTAAAGACTACTCTTCAAAAGTGTTGTTCCTTCTTAAGTTTTGTTAGGGGAACTGGCTTAAGCATTAAAAAATGGATGTTATACAAATTTAGTAAGCCAAAGCAGTTAATATTTTTCTCTTCCTTTAAGCTTTTCTCCATGGAATCCTTCTGTACATGATGAAGCCAGAGAGAAGATGCTGACACAGAAGGTAAGTAGACTACCATTTTTGAAATAGTTAACTCAGTTTCCTTTCTAAAACGTCTTTATTGGAAACTACTCATTATATACAAATAACTTTTTGGGAAATGAGCTTGTACAGTGCTGAAATCTCATCATTCATTTTTTAATGTCTGTTTTTGATTGTGCCTAGAAGAAACCTGAAGAACAGCACAATAAAAGTGTTCATGTTGCTGGCCTGTCATGGGTAAAGCCTGGCTCAGTACAACCTTTCAGTAAAGAAGAGAAAACAGTAGCAACTTAAGAGCTGGTGAATCTGGTGCACCATGCACTTTTCTGCCGGACTTGGGCCTAGGTAAAGCTGACCAATGGCAGAGGACTGCCTGAAGAGTAAAACTGTGTGAACAATGACTGATACCAGTGTCGTCCGTGTATGCTTAGGTTCTAACAGCAAGTTCTGGAAACCTCTCTTTAAGTAATGCATTACTTCTGTCAGAAGTGTCTTTAAGGTGGTTATCTAGTTCAGTACTCCAAATTACTGGGGACCTTGAGGATTAAGTATTTTTCTGAATATAATGCTAAAGGTAAGTTGCATTCATTTAAACTAATAGAATAGACAGAGTTCAGCACTATCTAATGAGTTTTAAATCAGTGGTTTCAGTTGTACATATGTTAGGATACAGAGAGGAGAGGCATAGAGAGAGCAGGTTCCATAGCGTATTAGCACTTTTAAGTGGAAGATCATTTGAACCTCAGTCTTCAGCCTACTGTCTTACTGTTTTACCAACTGCTGTCACTGAGGTACATATTAGGTGAGTGAGAGGAAACCAGAACACTTGTTCAGTTTTTTTTTTTTTTTAAAGCAAATTACTTACTGTATTTTTATGGCAGGAGGGAGAAAAGGTGTTAAAACGGTTTCTAATGAAGTCAGATATTTAAATGATGAATGACTAATGTGTTTTGTAGAGACAAAATAAACCAATAAATGATTGTTCTTTGTCATTTATGCAGGAAAGTGAATACCCTTTTCTCAATATAACTAAACAAAGATTAATTTATAAATGCTTTATTGAAAAATACACTTATTTTCATATAAAATTACAGTAGAAGTAAGTATCTTGAGAGGTTTTATAAATATTTTTGCAGAACACTATCCTAATTGAACAGTGTAAGTGTCATATTTCTTTCAGAGCAATATGAAGTTACCTAGTAACTTTGTTTATACTGATTCAATTTACAATTGAATTTTCTCCCTAATAAGATTATTCATTCAACCTTAAAACTGCTGCAACAATAGTGATTAATAAAGGTATATATAGATAATTCAATAGCTGTTAAATAACATTTTCTAATTTGTATAAATGGTACTGTGTACTAATAAAAACCCAAATTCTCCAACCTATTTTTTTAAACTGCTAGGAACACACCCAAAGATATTTTAAAATATATCACCTTAATAGACACATGTCTTTTGGATAACTACCTCCTAAAGGAAGAGGTCATAATTTTTCATATTAATCTCCTTAATTCAACTTGATTTAAAATCTTTACTTAGCCAGCTATTCCCTCTTAACAACAAAAAACTGGAGAATTTAAAACACATGCCCAAAAGGTGGCTACTGCGGCTTTAACAATTTTAAAAAAGTACAAAAGCATCAAAGAAGATATTGAATGTTTAGCCTGGAAGTTTTGTACTTAATAAAATTTACATTGTAGAAAGTGCCATTGCAAATATACAGCAAAATCTGGGTTATAAAATCATGCTTTTTACAGTTCTAAAGTGCCACTTCTTATACAAGTTCACTCACACATTGCACACCAAACAGTCAAGCACTTGTCACACTGCACCACACCTAATAGGAGAGGGAAGAATTAATTACACAAAGGGAATGGGAGACATGGGCTAATAACCTAGGACCTCTGAGTCTGGGCGCTCTCTCTCGTTATGTTTCAGGAATGCAAAACTCGCACACTCCTACCAAGTGTTTTAGGACAAAATACCTAGGGTTTTTGGCCCTCATGAGGGCCAGAGCTGACCACAAAACAGGTAGGAATGAATTGAAATACAGTTCCTCTGCTGGAACACGTCAATAGAGACTTTATACACATATTTGAGCACGCTTTGTTCTCTGCAATACTTGAAAAAGCTTTGCCAAAGAGTTAAAAAATCCAAGTTTGGATTCTAAGCAGCCTTGATGGCAAGCACTGAATGGTAGGAAAAAGCAGTTGGGATGAGTCAGAATATCCTAAGGACGCTGGAAGGATTAAGGGAAAGAGCCCCATAATCTAGCATGCATTAAATGATGCTGCTCAACAGAGCTGTGAGAAGACAGTTTCAATACAGTGGACTAACCTCAGTGGGAACCTCGGTCATTAGCTACATCTTGTAGACGGCGTAATAAGGCAGAATGATTTTCTGGACAAATTCTTTTGGCAGGTGATTCACTTCCATCTTCCAAAAGAATCCCTCTCTTTTTGGTTGGAGTTTCTCCTGTCCGTATCATACTGTTAATTTCTCTCAGTCTCTAGAGAGGGGAAAAAATAGATATAAAAACTTTAAAATGCTAATACTCATAGTTCAATGTTAAGTCAAAGAACCTCAAATGAGTTAATAATTTACTTTGAAGAGTTATGAACACCTTTATAGGGAAAAGAACTATTATATATCCTTCCAATTTCACTTTCCAGCTGGCTGAGACTGATGACTATCTGGGGTAGAGGCAGAGTATTTCTATTTTTTAACAAGCTCCAGGGGTGATTTTGATGTACAGTTTTCCACAATGTAGGAGTTCACAAATTTGTGATTTTTTTTTATAATAGTTATAGAGCATCACATTGCTGTGCCATATTTAATTCATCTCCATTTTCTTTTTTTAAAAAGCATGATTTTACAGTATTATGCCCTTTTTTTTTTTCAGTTAGTGTTACTCATTTTTTAGCAGCCATTCTCAAGTGGAATTTCACAAGAGAAGCTTTAATTCCCTAAGGCACCCATTGTAGGTAATTTATTAGTACGATCTAGAATGTACTAGTTAGTTATATATTATCCTTAAGAGAATTGAGAAAAGTCAGGCAAATTATTTTCTGCATTCTGTGGCTCACATGAGGAAGCCCAACTGAGAAAAAAACATTGCCAGAGTGCTAGAGAGACTGGATCTGTTGATAGTACCTTCAGCATTAATTTTTTCCAAAGCCCCAGAAGTCAGTTATCACATTATTTTCTGGTAGTTTGTTAAAAGTATTTGTTTCCATGTGCTACTAATGTCACTGTCCATGTTTCCTTATGGAAAGCATGCTGAGCGTATTTCACACACATTCATTACAGGAAATTTCAAACATAGGAAGGTAGAAGAGTACAACCTCACATGACCATCACCTCACTTCAACAATTTTGTCCAGTCTAATTTGATCTATACCCTCATTCATTTGCCATCCCCCAGACTGTTTTAAAGCAAATCCTAGACATATTTTATTCATAATACTTACCTTTATTCTTTATTTTGAAAAAATAAACTTTTCTGAGGTTTTAAATAAACTCACCAACGTTCTTTATTATTGGCATATTAACCACCTTCTTTCTCTTCTACCCTTTTGTCTTCCTAAAAGTGTGGTCTGCATTTGCTATCTCTAGTCTCTCACTTACTTGAATATTCCTTAAATTGTTAATTGTATACATTATATGAATGTTATTTGTATATAATGTATACATCATTTTATGATGTATATATTATACAATGTATAACTGCATATCTTAATATACATAGCACATTAATACACATTAATATATAGCATACATTTATATATTGTACCTTAATGTGTTTATTATGTATTCATAATTTATATACAATACATAATTTTCTATACACCATAATTTATTCGACAATATGTACATGATAAACAAATAAATTCTTATTCCAAAAAAAATTCATACAGAATATACCTGGACTTGTCCTCACCCAATTCCTAGGGACACTTACTATTATCATTCATTCACTGAACAAAAAAAAAGGCTGTGTGGCCTTCTGCTCTTTTAGGAATGCACTCCTAAGAAATTTAATATTGTGTATTAAGTGGGGTTTCAAAAAATTTTTAATGGTTTATTTCATGTACTTTTGGGAATATGTGCTCAGTCAACAATACGTCTTAGATCTTCCCATATCAGTATATATGGATCACATCTCTCTAACTGCTATATAGTATTCTATAGTACATCTGTATCATAGTTTAATCCCCTACTGATGTATTATTTTCTCCCAATTATTTAATACCATAAGCAATATTACCATAATTTATTATTCAAAAAGCTATACTAATCCACTGAAACTGCCCTGACAAGTGTCACTAATGATCAGTCATCTTAATTGATCTTGTGTGGTATGTGATAATTCTTTTCTCCTGGTAGTGTAAATGTTAGGATATTATAGGTTGGTTCTAGACCCAAGTACTTCTCACTTTGTAATATTCTTCCTTGATCTCAGCTATCACCTATTAAGTTGTGATGGCAAATCTTTCTCCAACCAACAGTCTAATATTGCTACCATTTATTGGAGAAACTCCCAATTCTGTGCTAGAATTTTTTTTTGAAACCTCCCCAGGCGGTGATAATGTACACACAGGATTGAAAGCCACTGATCTGGATGCTTAACCTAACTTTTTTTGCACAAAATAATGTCACTTTTTAAAGGTTTACATATAGTAAAATTTACCCATTGAAGTGTACAGTTCTGCATGTTCTGACAAATACATATAGTCATGTAACCAACACAATAAAGATATAAAACAGTTCCTTTGCTCTAAAAAATTCCCTCATTTGTAGTTAACCCACCCCCAAGCAACCACTAATGTTCCGTCCCTATAGTTTTGCCTTTTCCAGAATGTCATAGAAATGGAATCAGATAGTAAATGGATTGCTGAATTTAGTGTCTTTCACTTAAGCATTAATGTATCTGAGATTCATCTGTGTTGCTGAGTGTATTGGTAGTTTGTTCCTTTTTATTGCAAAGTAGTAGGCTGGCCATTGTCTAGATGTACCACAGGTTTGCTTATCTATTAACCAGTTGAAGGACATTTGGGTTGTTTTCTACCTTTTGGCAATTAGGAATAAAGTCATCATAAACATTTATGTACATGTTTCTGTATGAACCTAAGTTTTCATCCCATTTGGCTAAATACCTAGGAGTGAGATTACTGGTTATATGGTAAGGGTATGTTTAACTTTATAAGAAACAGCCAAACTATTTTCCAAGTACAATGGCTATGTTATACCATTTTGCATTCTCACCAGCAATATGTAAAAGTTCCAGTTGCTCCACATCGCTGCCAGAATTTGTCAGTCATTTTTTTAGATTTTAGCCATTCTTTTTTTGTGTGTGTGAGGAAGATCAGCCCTGAGCTAACATCCATGCCAATCCTCCTCTTTTTGCTGAGGAAGACCGGCCCCGGGCTAACATCTGTGCCCATCTTCCTCCACTTTATATGGGACGCTGCCACAGCATGGCCTGACAAGTGGTGCCTCAGTGTGCACCCAGGATCCGAACCCAGGATCCGAACCCAGGCCGCCAGCAGCGGAGCACGCACTTAACTGCTGTGCCACAGGGCCGGGCCCAGATTTTAGCCGTTCTCATAGGCACATAATAGGTGAAGTGTGTTCAAATCTTTTGCCTGACTTTTAAATTTGGTTGTTTTCCTGCTGAATTTTTGTAATCCTTTATATATTTGTAAGATATAAATCCTTTATCAGATATGAGATTTGTATATTTTTCTCCCAGTCTGTGCTTGTTTTTTGTCTTTTAACGAGCAGGAATTCTTAATTTTGATGAAATCCAATTCATCAATCTTTTATGGATTATGCTTTTGTTGTTATATCTAAGAAATCTTTCCACAATCCATGTTCACAAAGATTTTCTCCTAGAAGTTGCATAGTTTTAGGCTTTACATTTATGTCTACAGTCCATTTTGAGTTAATTTTTGTATATGGTGCAAAGTATGGGTACAAGTTTACTATTATTTTACTATGTGGATATCCAGATGGTTCGGCACCATCCTTTCTCCACTAAAGTGCTTTTGCACCTTTGTTGAAAATCAGTTGACCATATATATGGTTTATTTCTGGATTCTATCCTGTTGATCTATATGTCTGTACTTTCACCAACACCACACTGTTAATTACTGTAGCTTTATAGTAAGTCTTGAAATCAGATGTGAGTCCTCCAATTTTTTTCAAAATTGTTTTAATTATCCTTTGCATTTTCATATAAAATTTGGAATCAGTTTAATTCATACAAATAATTCTGAGATTTTGACAGGAATTGGGTTGAATTAATAGATCAAGTGGGAGAAAACTTATATCTTGATACTGTTTTCCAGTTCATGAATATGGTATTTCTCTCCATTTT